AAAAAAACACTGAGTGAGCAAAAATTTGTGAGATAGCTAGTTATAATGGTAATTAAATAATGTTTACATATGTATAAAAGCCTACATTAAAATCTGTCATATAAATTGGTCTCTTCATTAGAAATTAGCCTACTGATTGCCACCATTGATAGACACATTTCTTTTTATAATATTAAAAATATCTGTATGACATTATATTCTGCAGTTCTTCTCTGTTGTACCGAATATCTTTTCAAATTATCATATCGAAGTTAGAAATTCAAATATTGTGACAAAATTAATTTTGTAGGGTGCCACAAGTTTGTTAAAATTTCCAAAGGGTGCCGCGACTAAAAAAGCTTGGGAAACACTGATATAGACAGTTAATTCCTCTCACGCATGCGCAGAACACACGTGTTAGTTTGCCGTCGGCTGTAGTCTGTGCGGTGTGTTCGAGCACAGCTTTTTAGCCCAACACTGCCGACGCGAGGCAACAACACCGTCGGCTTTCGTTGCCGCTAGTTCTTTGAAGTTGGCTTGGTGTGTTCCGGCCTTAAAAGGGATAGTTCACCTAAAAATGAAGTGACATAAAAAGTGTCCCACACGGCTCCGGGGGGGTTAATAAAGGCCTCCTGAAGGGAATCGATGTGTTTTTGTAAGAAAAATATCCATATTTAAAACTTAATAAACAGTAATCTCCAGCTTTTGGTAACTGTCGTATGTGCATACATGAGAGAGTGGCGTTCCAGCCGGATGACGTAGGATGTAGTGTAAGGTCCGGTGAGAATATGCTAGTCTTGCGAGAACCAAGATTTTGTTTACAGGAGTAAAAGAAGCAAAGTTTACTTTGTTTAGCAAAGGAAAACCAGTCTCCTCTTGGCTTATATCGAAATCCTCCAACATTTTTTCTTTATAAATTCTCATTTTGTACTTCTAATTCAATGACTGGTGTTTTGTTTTGCTCTCTCTTCTGTGCTTCCGCGTAAGACACTTCTCACCGGAGCTTACGCTACCGCTACTCCTAAATCATCCGCCAGAACATCGTTCTGTTGTGAACGCGCCTACGACAGTTAGTGGAAGCTATTACTTATGAAGTTTTAAATATGGATATTTTTCTTACAAAATCGCATCGATTCGCTTCAGGAGGCCTTTATTCGCCCCCCGAAACCGTGTGGGACACTTTTTATGATGGACGGATGCACTTTTTTTAAATATAATTTTTTAATATAACTCTGATTGGATTGGAAAGTCATATACACATAGAATGCCTTGAGGGTGAGTAAATCATGGGGTAATTTTCATTTTTGGGTGAACCATCCCTTTAAGGTCCAATATGGACACTTTAGGTACAAATGTGTACTTTTTGAAAAGGTACCGCCCCAGTGACAACTTTCGTACTTTTATTTCTGAGAGTGTGGTTCAGAAACCAAAAAACATTGTGTGAACACAATCCAGTGGGTGCAGGGGGAGGGAGGATCAATTGAACTCAGGTTAGGGCCTGTTAGTGCAGTTCATTTAAATAAGTGTAATAAAACTTACAATAGAAACATTTGCACAGATTAATTTTTCACAATAAAATCTATAACATGGATTTAGAGAATAGATATGGTGAATTTTTATTTCATGCCGGCTTTAAACACCTTACATAAGCCTAAAGAAACTGAAAAATTTGTTCAAATGCAGTGTGAACTAATATATGCAAGCTGAGTTACAACTGGTTTACTGGTTTGCAACAAGGAATGTTGTTGCACATTAAATCTTTTTTAGAAAGAACCCAAACCTAAATTTCCCTTATGAAAAGGAGTTGCCTATTAAATTTCTGCTGCGAACCAGTCTTGGCAAGGCAGCTCTCAAAGATAGTGGCATCCCATTTTTAGCTGGCTCCTAGAGCAGGAGTTTTCCAGCTAGGAAAAGTAAAAGAAGGGGAACATCTGTATCCTGGCCCTCTCTCTCTCTGTCTGTGGGCTCATTCCAGTCAGAGACACGTCCTGGGAGGTCTGCCAGCCCTTAACCTTTTATGGACCTAAAGCATCATCCACTGCTTAGCCCAAACTCAGTTCTGACCTATTTCCACATCTGTGCTTTCATTACAGACAGATGTCGCAGTCCTGACAGCAGACCAGTGACCCTAATAATATCCCAGAATATCTTTATTAAATATAGTATCATGGCAGAGCAACAATTTGAAGAGAATCTTGCTGAACAGGTTTCCTAAAGACAATATGTTTATAGCAACTTACCTGAATAATAACACACCCAGTTTAACGGCACACACATTTAACTCTATCGACTCCTTAAGTATTGAGATTTGTTAGGGCTACTGGTACATTCAAGACCTGCTGGGAAGTTCGTATTTATGAGTTGGGAAGTTTTAAGTCTACACAACACATTTAAGTCTACTTATACAAAAATGATGAACAAAGATGTGCATCTGTGTGTTTTTGCTTGTTATATTTTTGATCAATTTATGAACGTGTTGAATCAATATATAAACTGTAATTGTACAACACTATTGTATTTTGTAGACACAACTTAGTTTCTATTGTAAATGGGGAAAAATTATGTAATTTTAACAAATACAGATACAGATATACAGATACATTCAACTTGTTTTCTCACTGACACACCTCCAACTCGGAAACTCTGGTTTAACGAAAGTTCTGAGTTTCCCATTAAAAATTACGACTTTGTGGTAGTGTTCATGTGCATTCAACTCGTAAATTCAATATTTCCAACATGACTTGAACGCACCATATGCACATCATGTATACAACACTGGCGAAGCGCTCTTGCGTAAAGTATGTTTCTGGCTTTGCGTTCAAATGTCTGAGCCATTAAACAAGACGTGTCATTAAGTAACTGGAAAATAAATAGTTTTAACAAACTTGCTTAGCAAGATTCTCCTCTTTTTTTCATACAAACTGTTCAGACTAATGGTAGTCTGATGGTAATAGGTAATGGTAATAGTAATGGTAATAGAAAACTTACCGTAAAAGAACATTGTTTACAATAATACACTATTGCGCCCCCTGCGGCGATACTTAGAATGCACTTACGTTACGCTAAGAATTGTGGTCTGATATTTCGTACATGATGTACTTCTCAGACGCAGGCAGTGTTCCTGCAAATATTTCAGCGTGAAAGACACTCGCGATGACGGAATGTATCATTTGCACATGCTTTTGAGTCTTACAATTTTAAACATTCAAGTGCTCAATTCAGTACTTGCGACTGTGACTGTGAGACCCTTTCTTTGAGCCGCCTCACACCCAAAGCGCACGCACATTGAGACGTATCTGAGAGCGCGCGCCTTTGCGCATAAACGGCCAAATACATACAAAAATATGTCAAAGTGCCCGTCTGGATGAGTATTCATGTAAACAGTCGATTTATACTAAACATTTTCGGTATACAGGCTATTAAGTTAATGTAAACAGTTGCGAAACAAAACTTATGTGTAACAGTTTGATCCGTGCATGAGGTCTTAAAGAGACAGCAACCTAAATAAACCTGCTGCTGTCTGTCATTAATGTTTATTTATACACTGAAGACTAACCAGTGTTATTTTAAAGTTAAATAGATTATTCTGTTTCTGTGGTATTTCTGTACCTGAATATTACTGTTAAACCTACCTGAAAAACTTAAAGCACAGTTAATTTTAGTTGTATCTTTTTATTGTATTTGTCTGTGCCATTGCTTGTCATTAATCTATTCTTATTTATTACTGACTGTTTATTTGTCTTTTTTAGTTAAAATAAATTCAATTCAGAGTATCTTCCTCACAATATAAATATGAATCAACAACATTATAAATTGTAAAACACAAATACACTGGGTGACGAAACATTTAGGTTGGATGATTGTAGTTTAAAAATATGTCTAAAAAAATACCCTATATTTTGGTAAAAATACCCTATATATATATATATGTGTGTGTGTGTGTACTCTACAGACATTTTTAATTTTTACGACTTTCTATAAGATTTATATTGAATTACTCAATTCCATGACATGTTCAGGCCTCACAATGACAATTTTACAGTTCGCTGATATTTAAGTTACAGGTGTTCCAGGACCGTGAGAACATACAAAGCTAATATAATACAAAGAGACGTGACTGCCTACACTCCACGCGACTACTAGAATGCTGCTTTTTTAAACCAACAAGGCTGTCTGGCTGCTCACTGTTTTAGTGTAGACAACTTGTTGATTATCATGGGCTTCCGAGTTTCTAACCAAGCCTAAACAGTGAAAACGGTGCGAGCTGCCAGCGCCACATCAGCGAGCATTTAAAGCTATATATAAATAACAAATACACACTCCAAAATAGCACAGAACTAGTTTACTATGGTAGAAAACGCGAATAAGGTACAAAGCTCCTCAGGACCTCATTTACTAAGTTAGATTAACTTATTGGCACTAGTTCAGGCCAGCAGCGAGTTAAATCACTTTTAATACTTTCTGTACTGACATTTTAGATACAAGTGAAAATCATTTACCTCTTTTGTGTCAAGTCGCAAGGAAGATCCGTTGAGCAGCTGTCAGTAAGTTCGTTGTCGTGCTACTAGAGACTGAACAAAAAGACTAGCAGCAGCATGAGAAACCCTTTAACCCTTTACCGCCCTGCCTGGCTGAACCATAGACTGTATAAAAACAGGGCTGAAGCATAGACTGTATGACACAGGCTAACATGGTGATCATAGTTGCCGCCAAAGTCAGAGCTCTGCAGTGTTGTGCAAGTTACTTCCAAGCTGTAATACATTATAGATTACTTGTTACTGTTATTTAAAAGTAACTCCTTACCTTACAATATTACGGTCTCAGAATTGTAATACGTTACATGACTCTTGTATTACTTTTGAGTTACTTTCACCAAAATGGTAACACTTTATTTTAGGGTCTCTTAACTAGTTGCTTATTAGCATGCATATTACTAGAATATTAGCCATTTATTAGTAGTAATTAAGCACATATTAATGCCTTATTCTACATTACCTTATTCTACATCCCTAATCCTACCCAATACCTAAACTTAACAACTACCTTACTATTAATAAGCAGCAAATTAGGAATTTATTGAGGAAAAATTCGTAGTTAATAGTGAATAAGTGTTCCCTATTCTAAAGTGTTACCATACTTAACATTCTAAAATGACAAAATGTACTGCAGAGCATTTTACATCCAGTAGAGGGCGATATGGTGTAGCATAATGACTGTAGGCTATCCAGGCTACTGACAATATAGCTTATAATTGGCCAAGTGAAGGCTCAAGACAATGCAAGAAAGGATGACAGCCAGAATCACAAACGATCCAAGTCTGTTAAAAGTATGGTAGAGGTAAAGTGATTATCTGGCAATATCTGTGAATAGCTTGGGTCTATTCATATTAGACACAACAGGACTATATGTAAACTCTAATGCCATGACAAGATGCGCATACCATCTCGCGCATGTACAGTCTTCTGCC